AGTCATATCATTGTTGTTTCTTAACCGTGAACAAGATTTCACCATTCAAAGGAAAACAGCTACAACAATCTAATAAATACCTGGAAACGGGATGACTCTCTCCCTTTTTGGACTGTTTGCGGTCGGACTTCACTGTAACAGTTGTCTGCTCGCGTTCGGGTTGGTTCTCCTCACTTAAATCCGCACCACTGGTCTCTTCCAAGGTCTTCGTACTCTCCTTATCCTCCATTACGTGTGTAACCCCTCACAGTAGCAAAACCCTAACCTTCAAAAGGAGCACGATGGAGGAACCCTAGCGACGCGAATCCCTTCTTTCGAATACAAATTCTTACTGTGTGTTTTTTTTTACCTGCGTAAATAGGTTATAAGGAGTTACTTGGACATTATAATCGGGTTACAAGCGCATTTCCAGTGTACACGTACATGGACATTACAATCGGGTTACACGGACATTATATTCGGCTTACACGCATGATACAATCTCTAGGTTACACCAGTGTTACCCCGGTGTTACATGCATTGTACATCAAGTGTACACCCTAATGCGTGACCGCGGAGTTACATTGACGTTACCGCGGAACTTACACCGGGGTTACATCTAGTGTACACGCACAGTCGGAGGTTACACCGAATGTACAACAATAGTACACGCGGATTACAATGGCGTTTCCGCGGAACGTACACCGGGGTTACATCCTTTGGTGACAACGGAGATTACAGATTACACCGGGAGCGGATATTACACGGTTATATAGGGCTTACAAGCGGGTTACATCCTTTGTGACAGCGGAGATTACACCGGAGTTATATATGGCTTACAAGCGCGGTACATGGGGGTGACAACGAAGATTATACTAGGTTTACATGGGGCTTACAAGAGCGGTACATGGGGTGACATGGGGTGGACCGCGGAGGTTACATCGGGATTACATGGAGGTTATAATAACGGGTCGGGTCGACGGGTCACGCACGGTCCGGTGGGGCCGACGAAGCTGACGTGTCTTCCGCTGATTCGCTATCGCACGCAGCGCTGCATGCCTCTTATGTACCCAAATTTTTTCCAAGGTTATGACATTATTTGCTTTCAATTTGACAAATATTCAAATGGCTTTAACTGTATAGCTTTGAAATAACTTGGTTCTAGATTTATAGTTATAATATTCTTTAACAGTTTAAGGTTTCTGTAGATTCGTTCTCGAGTAAGAAAAATCGATGAGGAATGTAAACCTCTTGTGGTTGCATCGTGGTGATCTGTTGGACATTATTTCTTTCATGTTTACTAATGTAATTTAATGAAAGTGGTTTGGCCATCATTTTGTGGAGTTTATGGGGGCTGTTCGGCTATAGCTATGATTTAGTAATTCCTATAAAGCCAAATTTAGTAAATCTATAGAGGATTAGAACCAGAAAATTATTTGGCATGACAACTATTAAATTTTGATAAATTATTTGACTATTTGTTTCAAAATTTAAGATTTGTGAGGGGAGAAATCCTTACATTCTTTAAATCTCGTGAATGACATGATTTAACTAATTCTAAATTTAACTATGATGGCTTTAAAATGGGGTTTATCAAAGCAATAAAATTTAAAGTCCCCAAATTTCATTAAGATCCAGCCTGAAATTGGATACCAAACAGCACCTAGGTGTGAATCTAGCTAGTTTTTTATTACAAGTAGTGTCTTTTAGGTATTTCTGAAATTTGAATTTATTTTCATTTCATTATTATTATTCTTTCTGATCTGACATGCAGTTCACTTGATCTAGTGGTTGGACATTTTATCTCAACTACAAGCTCTTGAGTTCAAGGCTTAATACATACGAATGTGTACATGAGTTAAAGCTAATGATAATAATAATCTTCTTGATTGGAGATTTTGATTGCAAAAAAATGAAATGTTGAGTGGCTAGACATAGCGCTAGATTTGCCATGCATAGATCCTCCATGTGAGAGACTTTCTGTTTGTTAGAAGTTATTGCTTAGATCTTCCATGTGAGAGATTTTGTGTTTGTTAAAAGGTTTTTTTTGTAAGGTGGCAATTCATGTTATTATGTTTGGATCCACATTTTATCATTTAGGTTTCTTTAGGGTTGATAAAAAACCTTATTTTGCTAAACAGTTTGATAATCTATATGGTTGCCGCCACTCTCTACCCGATGGTCTAATGAGAGCCACTGATGTCATGCTTGCCGGAAAGGCCGCCGTGGTCTGCGGTTATGGAGACGTTGGAAAAGGCTGTGCTGCCGCCCTAAAAACCGCCGGAGCTCGCGTCATCGTGACCGAGATAGACACCATTTGTGCTCTCCAACCCCTAATGGAAGGCATTCCTGTCCTCACCCTCGAAGACGTAGTGGCCGACGCCGACATCTTCATAACTGCCACCGGCAACAAGGACATCATTAAGGTCGACCACATGAAGAAGATGAAGAACAATGCCATCGTCTGCAACATCGGCCACTTTGACAATGAGATCGATATGCTGGGCCTTGAGGCCGTGCCGGGAATCAAGCGAATCACGATTAAGCCACAGACGGATCGGTGGGTCTTTCCTGATACGAATAAGGGCATTATTTTGCTTGCCGAGGGCCGTCTTATAAACCTGGGATGTGCGACTGGGCATCCGAGCTTCGTGATGTCGTGTTCCTTCACCAACCAGGTGATAGCACAGCTGGAGCTGTGGAATGAAAGGTTGTCTGGGAAGTATGAGAAGAAGGTTTATGTGTTGCCTAAGCACTTGGATGAGAGGGTTGCGTTGCTGCACCTGGGGAAGCTTGGGGCTAAGCTCACCAAGCTCAGTCTAGCACAGGCTGAGTACATCAGTGTGCCTGTTGAGGGACCTTACAAACCTCCTCACTACAGGTACTAAGATGTTGAGAGATATTGAGGGGATTAAGTAAAATGTTTCAAAATAATAATAGCACCTGATGCTGAATATGAAGACTTTGTTGGTCTTCGTTATCATATTGTTCTGATATATTTGTTTTGAGGTTGTTTTCTAGTTCTATTTAGCAATGGTTTAGGCATTTTTGTTGAGTGGAACAGTGTTGTAAGGTGCTGCTTTTGCTGGGAGGGGGTAAATTTGGAGTTTGTATAATAATTATTTTGATCCTCTATAAATAAAAATAATAGCTAATTCTATTTGATATGAGAGAGATTTGATTTGGGAAGATTTCCATACAAACCACTCAGTTTCTATATATTTATCAATGAAGAACCTGAATTAAATTTAGAACACCACAGAAGCCACCAATTATTTGAAACAAGACTTTCATTTTACATTGAGCAATACCAAATATTGTTTTTTTTTCAAGCGAGATGATTGCTCAAATCAAGGAATCTTGAGATACTTAGCAATATTAAACATTTGTATGCAATTTTACTTGCATTATTTAATTGCAGCTGTTGTAAACTCGCTCCGCCAAACACCTACAAAATTCCAAAGAACTTCTTTGTCTTCTCTGTAGCCAAGAACCTGCTACCCGAACACCTTGTCTCTTCGCCGACACCTTGCTGCAGCCTAATGGAGAAGAATGTTGAACTTTTATTTGTCCTTCGCTGCAGTTCACACTCTACCTGCAAGAAGTGAACACCTCTGTCACGGTTCCAAGAACCAACCCAGAAAAATCTTGACTGCCGAATTCCTGCAGTTCTTGAACTCCGGATATGGCTTGCTTCTATGTATGCCTCAGCCGAAGGAGTCACCAACAGCAAGAATCCGGAGCACCTTGCTGCAGTGATTCAAGAAGATGATCTGCGAAGTCTTGCTGCAATCTGTTAGTTGTTCCTTGCAGGTCTACAGTTTCCAGGAATGTCGAATTCCTCCTAAGAGTGCTTCGGCTACCTGGACAGCCGAATCGGAAAGGAAAAAAAAAAAAAAAGGGAACCAGACACA